CCGGAGAAGCGGTGCTTCGGTGCGCGCCCGGGATCTGAACCTGGGCCGCCAGTAGCGGAGCGCGTGCACTTAACCGCTAAGCCATGGGGCTGGCCCCCTGCATTCTTTTCTATGATCTTCTTCAGGGTAGGGCTCGGAACCCAGGTGTCCTGACTCCCAGGTTCCTCCCACTCCACCACTCAAGAATTTCTGAAGAAAGGAATCTGGAAGTTACTCAAGGAGTGTGTGCAGTAGAGAAGTCTCTGGGTCAGAAGTGTAGAAAACAGACCTTTGGTGGGTGTCTTCTGGGTGGGGGTCCTGGGGCCTGGTGTTCAGGGATGAGCCTGACTGGGCCTGGAACCAGCGAGAGAAAACTTTATTTCTCACAGGCAGCTGGCTTGTGGGCTGCTATGTGCAGAGTTCTGTCCTTGGTGCTTTTTGCTCTTAAGTCTATGTGGTGGTTTTAAAACATATTCGCAAATTCCTTGACGCTCTTGCTATCATAAGGTTGAGTCTAAGCCCCCACCTCTGGAATATGGACTGGCCTCAGTGACTCACTTCTCATGAACGGAATATGGCAGAAGTGACAGCATGGCTTCCCAGGCTAGGTTAAAAAAAGAGAGAGAGCTCCCACCTGGTTGGGCTCTGTCTCTCTCCCTCTCACTCTCTCCTCACCCTTGGAACTCAGTCATTATGTGTGAGGAAACCCAAGACACATGTAGGTGTCCTGGTTAAAGTCCTAGCTAGGGTCCCAACTACCTGTCAACATCAATGACCCAAGCTATAAGTGAGCAACTCTTCAGATGGCTCCAGCCCCAGCCCTCAAGCCACCTGAGCTGACGCCAGACAGAGCAAAGACAAGCTATCCCCAATGAACCTGCCCAAAACACGGATTCATGAGAAAAATAAATATTGCTGTCTTAGGTCACTAAGTTTTGGGGTCGTTTGTAACACAGAAGTAGATATCTGGAACATTCTATGTCCATGGTTCTCACCAGGTGAGTAAGGACAGTGCTTCAAAATCACCTGTGGGGCCTTCCCCAGAGTTCACCCTTCGTCCCTAGGCTTCCCCCATCCTACTCCATTCTATTACCTATTTTAGGCCCTCAACTGGGGAGGCTGGGGAGGAATGCAGCAGTAACAAGAGCATTGAGTGCGGGCCGGCCCGGTGGTGCAGCTGTTAAGTGCGCGCGCTCTGCTTCGGCAGCCCAGGGTTCACAGGCTCGGATCCCGGGTGCAACCCTGGGCGCACACCGACGCACCACTTGTCAAGCCATGCTGTGGCGGCATCTCATATAAAGTAGAGGAAGATGGGCATGGATGTTAGCCCAGGGCCAATCTTCCTCAGCAAAAAAGAGGAGGATTGGCATCAGACATTAGCTTAGGGCTGATCTTCCTCACACACACACAAAAAAAGCACTGAGTGGGCTAAGAAATCCCACAGGTAGGGGCTGGCCCCATGGCTTAGTGGTTAAGTGTGCGCGCTCCGCTACTGGTGGCCCGGGTTCGGATCCCGGGCGCACACTGACACGCCGCTTCTCCAGCCATGCTGAGGCAGCGTCCCACATACAGCAACTAGAAGGATGTGCAGCTATGACATACAACTATCTACTGGGGCTTTGGGGAGAAAAAGGAAAAAAAAAAAAAAAGAAATCCTGCAGGTGATTCAAATATGTGCTCTGTCTAGTTGAGATCCACTAGACCTGCTCTGTCAAATACAGTAGCCATTAGCCACACACGGTTCTTAATTCAAATTAATTCAAATAAAATGAAATATTCAGTTCTTCAGTCTCACTAACTACATTTCAAGTGCTCAATAGGCACATGCAGCTAGTGGCTACTGTATCTGACAGTGTGGCTACAGAATGTTCCCACCACTGCAGAAAGTTCTACTGGACAGTGCTGCATTAGAACCTCACTGCCCAGAGAGGGCTGAGGACCAGGAAGGTCAGCATCACCTGGGAGCACATCAGCATGCAGACTCTCAGGCTCCACCCAGACCCACGGAATCAGAAGCTGCATCTTCTCACGATACCCAGGTGATCTGCAGGCACATGAAAAGCACTACACTAGCCAGAAGTTCTCAACCTTGGCTGTCTCAACCTTGGAAGCATCGGGGAGGTTTTTGAAAAGCAGATGCTGAAGCCACACCTCAGACCAAGTGAATCAGAATCTGCAGGGTGGGACCCAGGCATCAGTCTTCTTTAAGGTTTTCCAGCTGATTCCAATGTGCAGGCAAGGTTGAGAACCACTGCTCTAGTCTATAGCTT